AGCATGTCCATTTGCTATACTGTCTCTAGAACAAGTAATGGTTCTATCTCATGTTGCTCCCTCACTTTTGCCTAGCCAAGTGGCATACAATGATGCCTACCCAAAAAAGTCTCATATGTTGCCATCTCCATACTTGAATATTAGGTGTCAGTTGTCACTGTGATAAAGGTAGAAGTTTCCCTAGCTTCTTTTCCGCTATAAGACGCAATCTCTGAACATATACTCAAAAGTCTAAATGGTCCTCTCTGACTGACCATTTGTCTCCGGATGGTAAGTAGTAGTCATATCGATCTTTGTCTCATGCGCTTTTCGAAAGGCTCTCCAAATGTAGACGTGAACTGCCATCCCGATCGAAACAATGCTGACAGGAGCTCCATGAAATCCTTTTAATGTATCTGATGTATATTTGTGCCAACTGATCAGTTCTGTATGTCTCCTTAATTAATAGAAAATGAGCTGACTTGGTAAGTCTATCCATGACTACCCACGTGGCATCATTTCCACCTGCGGTGAACAAAAATCCAGTAACAACATCCATAATCACCAAGATTCATTTCCACTCTGAAAAAAGCATGCTCAACAATAACCTGATCCTTAAACATAGTCATCTGACATGGCTGAATATTTGGCCTCGAAATATGCTCCAACTGTCCACAACATAAATCTTAATACACTTCCCATTATGATGATAATGGTAATGGGGACAACTCGGTAACTCAGACTGGTTCCCTGTTCGGTGGCTTTCTCCACTAAATCTTTTAATCTGAAGTAACGACGACATAACACATGATCTGAATCTCTACTCGCATCCTATCCAAAAACTTTTTGATCAGGTATTCTTCTAAAATGCCACCTCTAACAAATCCTCAAGGTAAGTCTGTTAGGTCCAAAGTGTCTTAAGCGTACTCTTTCCTACAACACTAATGAATCTCCACATAGATATTCAATAGCTAATCTAAAAGGAACTTTTGTTGATAGTCAATAATCCCCAACTTCCATTCCAAAACGCTCCATGTTTTTGTTCTTCATTTGACTTGATGCTTAGGCTATGATCTGATATTGATTACAAAGTCCGCAAATGCTCATTCTACTCCTCTCTATCCCAGCAATATACCAAGACGCCGTCGATGAATACAACCACACACTTATCCAAGTTCTCACAAAAGAATTTATTCTTAAGTTACATGAAAGCTATCGGTGCATTCTTAAACCCAAACATTCTTATTATTATAACACCTAATATCCGTAATATATGTGAAAAACCGTATTCTGAATATACTTCCCAGCCATAACAATCTGATGGTATTTGGGATCCAAGTCAATCTTTGAAAATAGTGAACCTCCTGTAGTATCCCTCCAAATTTATGGATCTCTGTAGCAGCACACTTAGATTACGACAACTCTGGGATTGAAATAATATATTTTCCGGATCTACAACCGCTCCTGCATCTGAAACCACGTGACTCAAAAATCTAATTCTCCTCTGCCAAAACCAACACTTGCTCAACTTAGTAAATATTTGATGCTCTCTCAGCTTACCCAATACAATTCGCAAATACTCTGCATCCTCTTCTCTACTCCAAGAATAAACTAAGGTATCTTCAATGAAAACGATCATGCACTTAACCAAATACTCCCAAAACACAACCATAGTAAGCTTCATGAACACTGCCGGCACGTTCGTCAAACAATTGTTCTTACTACAACTTCAATGCCCATAACGTGTACGAAAGCTTGTCTTCCGCACATCCACCTCCACTATGGCGATCTGATGATACTCCGATGTTAAATCAATCTTATATCCGTCTCTTCATCTCAGACATCTCTGCTGGCGCTAATTGGTACATAAATCATGAAAGAGGTGCTACCTCTCTGATTCTAACTCAGTCGCAATAGTGTCACTAACTGGGATACCCTTTCTAAAACCTCAAATACATCCTCTTACTCTACAATAGCCAAAAGATCATCCAAAAATTCACCTGCTCTTCTATCCGATAACTCCTTAACATGTAGCGTGGAAGCAACAAAACTCCCGTCTCCTCCAGAATTATAAACCATTTCCCTCAGCAACTCAATACTTCTTGATATCATGACAATCAATCTATCATAAAACTGGCACCGTAAAATTTAGCTCTATCTCTAACGGATCTCTGAATATCTCGAGTCCTCCAAACATAACGAGCCTATAAAAATCGATGAACATAATAGCTCTCCACATCTTATGCTAGCTTTACGAGCTGACACATCTCTGAAATGGTCAACAAAACCAAAAACCGGCGGACATGCCAAATGTAGCTCCAATATAACCACAATACAATATGCTGCACCCTAATTTCAAAAACGATCTCCACGAGTTTACAAAAAAAGCATATATCCAAAATTGTCAATACACTCATACACAACAATAACACATGCCAACCCATGGCTCAAAACTCACAAAACATAAACTCATGCATCAGAAACTCGTGGAGCGACGTCTTGAAATTGGGTGATGGCAAAAACGTCACATATCCAGTCCTGAACAACATAGGAATAATGAATGAAAAAACTGATAAACCTTTGAGATTTCTAACAAATTAACATCACATCTCTGCAGAACATCAAGTTTACTCATCGTCATAAAAAGAGACAATTGAATTAGTGGTCACTAGACATAATGCTGCTAAAAGAATTTTCCAAGTACCCCTTTTTATTATTTTACATATATATATATATATATATATATATATTTCTTTTTTTTGAAAAAATTGAATACCAAATCCCCTAACCGCCATCCCGAGATAGAACCAGGATGGAACCCGCTCTGATACCAAAAATGTAACACCCATCACCTCCTACCTTGAGAACAGCGTGTCATCTCCGACGCGTCAGCATACGAAAAACGTGACACCCATCTCCCTCTCTCTAAGGACGATGGGTCACCAACAATATCTCGTAACATAAAATTCCATAAGCCCAACTACTCTCACCCAGGCCCAAATAAAAATTTGAATACGCACCAAGTCCGTCCATATATAACATGATTGTTTGTCTCACCTGAAATGGGGGAAGAAAGAGGGGTGAGCGACTCAGGAGTCGCTCGAGTCGCTCAGTGAGGTATAGGATGCTACCCCAAAGTCTGTAGACCCGAATATAGCACTCCAAAGAAATATAAATTAATTCTAATACATGTCGAAAATGGTACCTAAAGTACCCAAACAACAAACAATGGTCCTAGTGAGGTGCCCACTTGCTGCCCACTAACAAACCAAAAACACTGCCCACACATGGGTTAACAACAACATAACAACCACTGAGGATAGTGCCCCGGCACCGCCCGTAGACGATTTATCGACCCTAAGCTACGGCTCAACCGGTCAACTATAATTGACCGTAACCCTAATAAAATCCGGCCTACAGAGCACCACCACGCTATGTATCCATCTCAAACAATTCTAGCTATATAATTTACATTAAGCGAGGCAATCAATGTTGGACCACCTGACACCCTAATTCCGGTTTAGCAAAGAGCCTAAATAACTAATCAAAGAGACACCAATCTGACCCTAAATGACTTAATTCACGCAGACGGAACATATTAGAAATAAAATATATTTATTTAAAATCCTAAGCCACGTACGAGAAGTTCGGGAGTAGATCCTCACTTTAGCGATGGGGGAAATGGTATCTATGAACTCCAGATGCTCAAATCGATCCCAAATCTGAAATCAGATCGAAATTTTGAGTCAGAACACCCTTCGAACGGTCAAAACAGGTGTCTACGAAAAAGTCAACCCGCTGATCGAAGGTCAACCAGGTCAACTCTGACCAAATTGAAATCAAATTAGATCAACCTGTTTTCCTTAACTGGGTTCGATTTCAATTGGACCATCCGGTTTACTTTAATCAAATCAATAAGTTAAGTTTAACCAAAATCTAATTGATTTTAACCGCCAGTTTACCTTAACCAAATTGCAATCAATTTAAACTGGGTCAAACCAGTCAATCAACCGGTTTACCGAGTCAACCGAGTTGACCGAATCACCGATGATGTCACCGGTGGCAGAGCACAGTGGCAGTCGGCGGCAGAGCACGGCGGCGGTCGGCGTCGGATCACGGGGCGGTCGGCGGTGGAGAATGGCGGTCCGGCGGTCCGGCGGTGGGTCGGCGGCGGAGCACGGTTGTCCAGCGTTGGTTCGGCGACGGCGCGTATTTTTCATGTGCGTACTCGACGAAATTTCATGAGGTGTGTGTGACTTCGTCCGGACTCCGATTGAGACGTGGTCTGTGGCTACGGCTTCGTCTCAACGAGTAGAAAACAGTGGTGACCTTGTATGCGCGAGATTTTAAAGGGTTGGGGAGATATCGACGATTTACTGAATGGACAAAAGTAAGCTTAAACTCACTGCAATTTCAGGTGTTAAGAACGGTAGTGGTGAGCTCGACGCACTCTTGACGTGTGGTGACTCCGGCGATCACTTCAGATGGCTCAAAACCAAAGGTTTCTCCTCTCTCTCTTTCTCTAATTTTCATTTTTGTTGCAGAAAAATAAAATGCTGGAGAAATGGATATTTAAAATCAAAAACTTTGGCTTCCAAGGACCGTAGCCGGCTAACAAATTTTGTAACCGAAGTTCGGGTCGTTCCATACGGCTTATATATGAAGAAGATATACTGGTGGAGGATGATTATGTATTCCATTTATTACTCAGTAGTATTATGTACTTATTCTAATTGATGTACTTTAAGAAGTGAGATATACTCTTTAATTAGTCTTTACAATTTTAATCATAACTGTTAATAAGATCATTAGAAAATACACAACTGGAACTTTTTTCTAAACATATAAAACATTTTCTGGTCCACTAACTTCTCATACATTTTTCTTAATCATTTACACTAACGATTGAAGGAAGACAAACTCATCACATGTTCTTCAATCTTCTCCCCGGTCAAGCTAGGACCGCGCGAATGTTCACCCTCCTGTTATATATAGTCAAACCCTAAAACTCATCCGTTCATCTAAAAACAAAATTCATCACCATCCAACATTATCGAAGAATGTAAACTATCACTCCCTGGATGATCTATAGAACCAAACTCATCACGAGGTTCACCTTCTCTCAACATCTCAATCATTTCCACAGCTTCTCTCATCTCCATCCTTCTCTCTTCTTCTTCTTCACAGCATCTCAGCCCTATTTTCAACAAACTAATCATTTCCGCTTTACAATTCTTCTTCCCTTTCATTTCCTTGTCAAACACGTCACCTGTTTTTTTCTCCTTAACCATGTCATTAACCCATGTCACAAGACTCATGTTCGGGTCATAACCTTGCGTCAAATAATTCTCAGGGAATCTCCCTGTCAAAAGCTCCAATATCAACACGCCGAGACACCAAACATCTGTCTTTTTTGTCAAGGCTTGTCCTTTCTCTGGTCTACACTCTGGTGATTTGTATGCAGTCATGAAGTTATGTGCATGGTCTGAGCTCATCACCGGTCTTAGAGCGTAATCTGTTAACAATGGCTCAAGTGATTCGTCTAAAACTACATTCGACGACTTTATATGACCATGAGGGATAGTTAAAGTTGGTAGCTCCTTGAACAAGTAAGATAAAGCATTTGCTATTCCTTTTATGATCTTTAAACGTGTTAACCAGTCCAATCCAGGTTGCTCCGCGGAATGATTTGCTGAAAACATAGAACGTAAAACCCAAATTGTTAATAATCCGCAGTAAAAGACCTAACTGCCAACTGGTTTTAAGATAAAAGTCTGTTAAATGTTAAAATATACCATGAAGATGGCTCGCCAAGCTACTATTAGGCATAAACTGAGTGACTAAGAGTTTTTCTTCTCGCCGGTAATAGTAAGCGACAAGAGGCAATAGATTCGGATGGTTTAATCTCCCTAACCTTCTCATATGCTCATGAAACTCATCTCTTCCAACATTGTTCATATTTTTATACCTCTTCACGACAAATGTTTGTCCGCTAGATATCGCTGCTTTGTATGAAGCACCAAACGTTCCGCTGCCAAGAACTTCAGCTGAAGCTCTAAGAAGATCTTGAAGACCAAATCTTTTAATGTCGTCCCTCACAAACAGAAGCCTGCCTGCTGGATCAGGCATGGATCCTCTCCTTGCGTGATTCACAACAGATTCCGCTGGTTTATTGATCTTATTAATCTCGGGTTCATGATAAGTGTAGCTCTCTACCCTTTCTTTACCAGCTGAAGGATAATCTGACAAGCAGTTTCGTCTTCTTGATTGGATGAAACAGATCACAAGCGTGATGATCACTAGTATTATTCCAATAGAGATCAAAACTATTGCTATAGTGTTAAAAGATCCAGTCTTCTTCTCCTGGGGAGGACTAGGATGAGATCTTGGATCAACAGGAATACCCGGAGGGGAAATAGAACATGGACTTAAGGGAGGACCACACAAATCTTTGTTACCTACAATTTAAAAAACACAAAACATTAGACATTGAAATTCATTTTATAAATTGAAAAATACATATTTATACTATCATGTTAATCTCTACAGACCAATGAAAATATACCTGCAAAAGAGCCAGGGTCCATGTTTTGAAGGCTTTCAGGGATGGGTCCATCTAGATCATTGTTTTCAAAGCTAGCTAACTTAAGATCCTCTTGTTTAAAATATGGTATATGCCCTTGAAACTGATTACCATTTAGCCTCACCTCTATAAGCCTTGGCAAAGAAGTTAAAGAATCAGGGATTGTCCCACGAAACGCGTTATTCGCCAAGAAAATCTTCTTCAAATGGGGCATATCTTGAAATCCATCTGCTGGTATCTCCCCCGAAAACCGGTTATTAGACAAATACAAAGATCTCATAGAAGTAAGCCTATTAACATGAGGCATTGGGCCATCGAACTCATTGTTCATGAAGCTTATGGTTCGTAGATTCTTCATAGGAACCAGTGGTTCTAGGTCTAACGTCCCGGTTAAACTCATTCCTTCAAGTTGTAACCCATAAACGAAATTGGTACATAGAACACCGTACCAATTCGCGTCATTTCCTTGACATGGTGATGTTAATGGATCCCAGCTATTAAACCCCGAACCATTTGCTAATGTATCTTTGAATCTCAGGAGACAATCTGCATCTGAATCTGGCACAACCATCTGAGACATTACGACCGGACATAACACGGCGATAAAGATGATGAGGAGAATGCAAGAACGTAGAGTTTTCTTGAAGGCCGTGTTACACGCAAGCGTAACCGGGTTCTCCCAAGTTCGCATTGCGGTTACACGCACAATGGAACCAATATGATCTCAGTGAAATGTTATTTCTTGTTCTTGGTCGTGGCTTCCGTGAAGCCAAGAAATTGCATGAATGGAACGAGGGAAGAACAAAACCTACCACGAATAAGAGCAAGTGTGTACGTAAATTAGCAAAGATGTGTTTTTTTCTTTTACTCCCTATTTTCTTCTTTCTGTTTTCCTTTTTTGATTTGTGTCATCGTAAGATTATTATTAGGTGAGAGATTTCACTGGATAACCATTCAATTATCTTGTTTTTAAGTTATATATATGTAAGCCTTGTTATGCTGATTTTTCATTTTCTTTTTTTTTGTTCCAACCAAAGTTTTTCCTTTTTTGCTTCTAAATGGATTGGCAATAAAACTGGTGGATTATATCTGCTTTCTTTTCGATCAAAAATAATAATAATAATAATAATAATAATAATAATAAATATCTGCTTTCTTAAGTAGTTATCCCATATTTCATTCTCATATTTGGATCATCAGACTAGAATTTTTTCTGTGTTCCAATAAAAAATCAATAGTTAAGATCGATCAGGAGATTATCACAATATAAATTAGGTACACTGGCTGGCTCACATGCTAACTACCTGCTCTGTCAAGGGCCTCAGGACCATCACAATATATATTAGGTACACTGCCTTTTAAAATAGGTTTGGTTAAACTTACATGAATATACATATATATATATATATCATTTTTTTTAATTTTTTTTTGCCATGTGAATTAATATACAAAAGGGCTAAAAGCCATACAAGTTCGACAACCATACAGGCTGAGAATCCGCTAAAACAGCAGCAATAACAAAACAACTCATACCACACTACACTTTAAACACAAACCAGCTCTCATTGTGTACAAAAAACCGAACCTAAGAAGGAAGTATTAGAGGAACCGAATTTCATTGATAAAGAACTCGAAAAGCCAAGCGGGATGGCCTGAAGCTACATAGGATTGAATCCTACCCTGTCTAGTAACACTTTGAGCAATGAAAGCCGCTCCTCGGTTCTCCTCCGGTCTAATAGATTTGAGTTTAAACTCCCCCATCACCGCAAGAAACCTCTTGATCTCCCCTCCTTCATGTCTCAGCACTGGCCATAGATGAGGTTTATGTATTGCCATGAATAATTCCTTGAAATCACCTGCAAAAATCACCTTATTGTAGTGCATACTAGTCATACTTTCCACCGCCCAAAGAAGTGCCGTGAATCTAGCCTTATCCAGACCATCTATGTCCGAGAAGGCTCTTCTGCTGTGGCTGATCACCACTCTTCTGTGGTTACGTATCACCCAAGAAAGACCATGTGGGAACCGAAATTCAATCCTGTCGATTTTACGTAAATTTAGGAACTTAGGGAAAACCCTAATTTCCCAGAGGACCCGGCTATCTGCGGAACCGCACACAAGCAATCAAGTAAACAATGAGAATAAGTAAAAGATAATAAAAACGAGATTGAGAGCAAGAAGGAGTCTTATTCCGAATTCGCGTAAGAACGGTACAACAAGAGTAAGCCTTAGCTGTGTGAGACGTCGGCAAGATTTCTAGTTCTAGCAATCTAAGACTAAAACCCTAGTTGAGATGCAGCTCGGTAACAAAAACAGAAAGTTGCCTAAATGCTAAGTTTTGGTGGTGAAAGCTCTCGAAATTCGTCCTCTTATTATGTCCTTCGCCTTCTGCTTATATACTCCCTCCTTAGGCGGTTTAGTCTTTCATTTTTCGCTCAGATTTGAGTTTCTCGGGAATCTTCCATTTATCTCGATCTTTCCATTTTCCTTGCGGAAATCTTCTATTTATCTTCAAACTTGACATTTATCTTCAAACTTGACATTTATGTTCATTCTGCGAGTAAATTGGCAAACCGTCATTGTATCTTTGGGCTGGACTTCGTTTAAAGTCGCAAGTGGGCATTTAGCGTGCTTTTGGGCTGTCTGAGCCGTTTTGCGATAGAAACCATTTTACGATTTTAGACGAGATCGTTTCCTGATATGATGCCGTTTTTATAAGATTTCTCGAGTTAATCATATAGTTTGAAAATGTACGATGTTCTGTCTAATCATTTCCGTTTTATACGATCTTCCTGAACTTAACGAGAAAAGAAGACTTTTACGGTTTTTATCGTAAAACTTGAACGGTGAGACGGATCGAGACGAAATGAGCGATGTTTCAACCATGGTTCATAGCATGATCAAATCGAAGGACGTATGCCTTACGTTAAGGATGCGGGAGATCGAGGCTCGGGACGGTCAGCTCAACGTACGACGAGCCGAACCGGGTTGGTTCACTTGTATCACTTGTGCTACCCTCACGATCATATTTTGGCTCCTCATCAATGATAAGAGCCAGCAAAGTTTCCTCACCCAAAGTTGGATCCGACACACTGTTAATAAAAAATAAAACAATTAATAAGGTCAATTTACATTCTTCTAGTTTCTACTAAAAAAGTATATATACATACCTTTGTTTTTCCAAACGCAGCATATATATCTTCCAAAGGATAACCCTTCATGTTACTCTTTGAAAACCAGCGCTTGCACATCATAGGAGAATCTTTACAAGGGCTGTCTGCTGAGACTTGAAATATTTTCCCAGCTTAGAAATACACTCAAAAGCCAAAACCTACCCGAATATTGTCACAGTATCAGATTTTCGGTTATAAAACAGCTAATATTTTACGAATCCAGGAAAGCCGCATGCCGGGTGCGCTTCACCCTTCAGAAGCTCCATCATATGCTTGAATTTCTCTATTTCATCCTCAAATGATAGACGACCCAAGGAAATGTTCTGCAAACATCCTTAAGATGAACGGGCCTACTGATCTGGAATCCTTTGCATGTCCTCTGATAATCCGACCAAGGAAGAACAAGATAGCCATCTTCAATATATCGTTACATGGAGACTTCATAGACAACAGCTTGTGCTCCACATCTGTTATGGTGATTCTCTTTAGTCCACCAAAGTAATAATTCATAAAACTATTACCTCTGAGCTTGAAATATTTTTTCGGATAATTATGGCAGTCTAAAACAGAAATGAGGGCATGCTCCTTCATAGTATAGCGGATGGGCACACCGTTCACAACAAACCATGCAACATTGTCTTCTTTAGTACAAATGGTGTGCAAGAGTAACATCCACATTCCTTAGAGCTTCAGGTTTTCTTCATTAGGCATGTGGAAGAAATGATGAAACTGAGGATGGCTTGGGAACCATTTGACCTCCTCCTTAAGATTTTTAATAACCTCGACTGTGTTCTTCACTAAGCACTTGGTTTGAATCTTGCAAGTCTTCGTGAACTCTGTGCTCTTGAAGTGAAATTCAAGGGGCTGATGTGGTTGCATTGCCTACAATCATAATATAAATGTATTCGTCATTTGTTGCTACTAAAACTAGTATACTTTCTCATTAACAATGATTAAAATGAATGCAAAAAATATCTTAGATGATACAGCAGACATGTCTTCACTCTCTGCATCAATTGAAAGTGAAACTACAGTGATTTTTCTCACTGGCGTACTATCTTGCTGGACTACCTCTTCTCCTACCGGCTCATTCCCATCTGAAAGCGCCTTTCTAGCTCTAGTTCTACTGGATGCTCCACCTATAGTAGATGGACGCCTTCTTTTTTGGCCCTTCATTTTCTGTACAAGATGTTAATCACACAACTCAGTGACACTTGATTCAAGTCAAACTAATACACAACAACTCAATGACACTTGATGCATTTAAAATGAATTTAACTTAATTAATTGCATTCCCAAAACTAATGGTGTTATTAATAATATAGAAATATCAGTTACATTATAGTATATTTTATATAAACTAATTTTTAAATATAATATTACTTTATTTAATTTAGTCAAAAAAATTTTTTTGAGAGTTTAGTTTTCAAGAAAAAAATATCATAAAATTAATAATAATTCACAAAAAATTTAAAATTTTAGTATGTTGTTTCGTTTTAAAATAAACTTACAAAAAATATATCAGGTTAATACATAAAATAGTACAATTAAATCAAGTTATAAAATTCTTAAAATTATTATTATGTACAAATAAAAAAATTATTATCAAACATCTATTATAAAATAAAATATTCTACTATATATATAAATTAGAAAACATAAAATATATATGAGATTTGTTTTTATAAAATCAACGATTTATGAGTTTACATTGAACATAAGTCAAATCAAAACCCCACGCAAGAGCACGGGTCATGATCTGGTTTTGAGTTATAGGAGGTGTACACATAAATGGTTTTGGGATTCCATTTTCTTTCATGATCAATAAATTTAAAATTGCATTAAAAAAAAGTAACACTGGTATAAATTAAACCGGTCCCGGTTCATGATTATGGATCGGTTCAGATGATTTCGGTACTGTAAGAAATGTTGGAGAGAGATCCAATTCTAATCCGTTGGAAGCATATATCTCCTCCGCTCACGGTGGTCCGACGATCCGATCGCAGTCGACGTCATTCAACACATCCTTCCGCTGTTCTTCCTCGCTCTGCTCTGATCTGCTCTGCGTCGCGTTCTATCTCTCTCTCCTTCAAACTCTGTAAGCATCTTTGAAAGTTCGCTTTTAGACGTTGGACAATTGTAATCGTAGTGAGCCCTAATATCTGGGGCCGTGTGGTTGATCTTCGTTTTACAGATCGTGATTTCAGTTTTGATCATACAAGGCATGGATAAGTCGAGTGCGTTAGAGTATATCAACCAGATGTTTCCAACAGGTGAAAGTTTAGCCATACTCTTTGTATATTTATTATGTTTTAAATGATTAGTTTATTTCTCTTATGTGAATGTGTTTTATTATGAATTTCAAAATGTGTGTTTTCCCTTTACAGAAGCATCTCTATCTGGCGTTGAGCCACTTATGCAAAAGATTCATGGTGAGATTCGCCGGGTTGATGCTAGCATACTATCTGCTGTTCGTCAACAGGTGAGCTTTTTTTCTTCCTTCTTGGTCACTTACTTC